CAAAACTTTTTTTGAAAATTTTTCTTGTTACTTTTTTATTTCTTTTTTTAAAAATTTGCATTACCTATAACTAAACCCCTTTTATACAAAGTTCAATAAAGGGTTTCCCATTATCTTTTAAAACCTGGCACCCCAAACTTACCTACCACCCCTCTCTAAAGTTTCTCCTATTTTACTTTCAGGCCCCCCTACCACAATTACTCTCCACTTGGTTCAAAGGCTCCTATACTTCATTTAAACATCCCCCAAAATTCCTCTTCCTGCTTCTCCCTTCTCCGGGTGATACCGCTTATTATACCCACTTTTTCGCATCCCTTTACTTTAATCCCATAATTCTTGAATTTACCATTCATATTCTTTTTTCCCCTTTCCATAATGATCCTTCAAAAACGCACCCCTTTCCTTTTGGGCTCTAACTCTTCCAGATCCCCAAAAATTTTTTTTCCCATTTATTTCCCCCCACCAAAACTCCCTACCCCCCTTCAGCTTTGTTCGTTAGGGCCGGGAATCCAACTTCTTTTCATTTAACTCGAAATCATCGTTTTTTGTCATCACACTAATCCCGCATCAGTGAATGTTTTCAATATTTGGGAGTTGCCTGTCACAGATGGATTTATGAAGGTGAGGTTAACCATGAATTGAGAAGGAAAAAGATGAGGGGTGCGTTAAGGTATTGTGAGAAAAAAAAAACTTTATTATGGGGGCAAAAAAAGGGGAATTAATGAAAGATATTGGTACCAAAAATTCCTTAGGGGTGTGAAGCTTGGATTTAAAGTTGCAGAAGGAGGTGGGTTGGGGGGGGGGCAGTGGAGATGTCCTGTCTAACGGCAAGTGTGGTGTAAAAAATTTTGCAGAGAATTCAGAGTGTGGGAAAATTTGGGAAAAAGTGGAGTTAATAAAAGTATTTCAGAGGGCGAAAAGGGGTTGTTGAGGGGGTTTGGTAATTTTGAGAGAATGGGCAAAAATAGAATGACATGGAGTTATAAAAATTTGAGGAAAAAGGCAGGGTAGGGGGTCATTCAAAAAGGTTGGAGGGGGGGGGTAAAGAAGGGTTTTTTGGGAAAGGGGCTTGGACTTCCCGCAAACATGTGTGAGCTGTTAGATAGGGGTGAAGGAGACGAATGGTTTTTGGGACCTGACAAACGTTGGAGGGGAGCAGGGAATATTTATGAAGGGATTCGGGGAAAATGGTTATTTTTTTTAACCAGACTGAGTATGGGGAAAAGGGGGAAATACAATGCCCCCACTTTAAAGGAGAGGTTTGGGATATTGGGGTTTGGAGAGGTTGTTATACGGGGCCCCCCCCCTTTGAACGCATCCCTTTCGTTAAATCCCCCTACGAAACATTTGAAAGCCAAAAAAATTTTCCTTGCCCCACGAAAAAAAAATCCCCTTTTTGTGATTCATCCCGGGGCATGTCCTACTTTTGGCCTCAACGTAGGTTTACAAGCCAGCCAGGTGTCACATCTATGCATACATTCTAAATTTCACATTATCCAAGTGTTTTTAGGCTTGAACTGCAAATAAGCAAGATTTCAGGTATGTCTTTACTTCACTTACATTTGGTCCCTACAATACATGTTTTTTTTTTTTTTTTTTAAAAAATCAGCCGCTCCCACCGAGGGAAAAGGGGGGGCCCAAAAAAGAAAGAAAATCCCCCCAAAAAAAAATGCTTTTATCATCATTCAACACTTTCACCCCCACAAATAATCATGTTTTTGCAGAGGTGCCAGAATACAACAGTTTAGAAACTATAGTATAAAGATACACAACATATCCCCCCAAAATGCAATATCCCAAAATCCCCCTTTAAAGTGCGGGATTGTACTTCCCATTTCCCGGGCTCAAGTCCCACATATGAAAAATAACGGTTTCCCGAATCCCCTTTAAATAAATATTCCCCGTCACACTCAACAGATTGTCAGGTTTCCCAAGTCCATTGTCCATTCACCCTATTAACATGCTCACGCACGCTTGCTGGAGTCCAAGCCCCCCTTTCCCCAAAAACCCCTTTACCCCTCTCTCCAACCCTTTCGAGGAGACCCCCACCTCGCCTTCCTTTCCCCCAAATTTTTTGCTTTTCATGTCATTCTATTTGATCCTTCTCTCTAAATGACCAAACCACTCAACAACCCCTCTTCTGCCTCGCTAATACTTTTTTTAACTCCACACCTTTTTCCCAAATTTCCACCTCTGAATTTTTTGCATTATTTTCACCACACTTTTCCCCTTTGACAGGGGCCTCACTGCCCCAAAACCTCTCCTCGCTGCTGCATTTACCACCCAACTTTACACCCAATAAAGAGTTGGATCTATACTTTCAACATTTCCCCTTTTTGCCCCCATAACAACGTTTTTTGACTCCACATATACTCAAGGCACCCCTTGCCTTTTTTTTTCCCTCATCATTTCTATGATTTAACCTCATCCCTTTATAAACCATCCGCCGAACGTCAAATCCAAATATCTGAAAACATTACTTTTTCCATATCCTCCCCAATTTGAACCAATTTTTTTTTATCAAATTTTGATCCCTCATCACCTTACTCTTTTCTATTTCACTTTCAATTTTACCTTTCACACATTCCCAAACCCCTCCACAAACCCTTTTCAATTTTTCTTTTGAATTCCCCTAAGCACGTATCATCAGCAAAAAGTAACTGTGTAATTCCCCCTTTTGAATTTGATTCCCCATAATTTAATCCCACCCCCTCCCGAACACCCTAGCATTTTTTTCTTTTACAACCCCCTCTATAAAAAATTAAACAACCATTGACTTCACATCCTGTCAAGACCTACTTTTACCGGGAAGTGTCTCCCTCTCTTTTACACACCCTAACCTGAAACCTCATATCCTCATAAAAATCTTTACAGATTTAGTAACTTAATCCTATTCCATATCTTGCAAAATCTGCCACATTGTCCCCTATCCACTCTATCATATGCCTTTTCTAAAAACCAAAATGAATAAAAACTTCCTACCTTTTTCTAAAAAAATCTTCACATATATGCTTCAATTAAACACTTGATCTACACACTCCTACCCACTCGAAACCCCAGTACAAGCATAAATTTTACATACCCCCCGGGTTTTTTTCTTTTTTCTTTCTAGTTCTTGTTCTTGTTTCTTTTCCCCTTTTTCTCCATGGGGAAGTGGAAAAAATTCTTCCTCCCTAACCATGCGTGTTGTAAGGGCAACTAAAATGCCGGAGCAGGGCTAGTAACCCCTTCTCCTGTTATATTACTAAATGAAAAGGAGAAACTTTTGTTTTTCTTTTTGGGCCCCCCCGCCTTGGTGGGATCGGCCGTGTGTTTTAAAGAAAGAAGAACTGCAAAATAATCCCATGGACCCCAAAAAAAGTTTAGTGCCCTCCCCGTGGTAAAAAAGGGCAGAATTTTGTAGGAACTAAAGGAGATTAAGGAAATGTACGAAAAATGGTTGAACTGCAAACCTTACGATGAAAATCACCCCACACAGCTCTGGGAAGCCTGTTGGCAACCGTACAATGACAATGTTATGGGGCCCTTTTTGGGAAAAACTTAAAGAAACGGGAGGTACAGAGCTCTTGGACGTTTGTTGTGCGACGAGGTCAGTGATTCAAGCTGTCCTAGTGGGATTTTAAAAAAAGGGAAAAACCCGAAAAGGACTTGCTACCTCAAATCCTAATGGGAAAGGGGTTCCCCTTCTAAACAATAACTTCCACACTCTCCCCCCCTCCCATCCCATAATCCACCAGATCTTCAATAAAGGAAAATGTCATGTTTTATTCTTTTAGAGTGTAAAATGTGCAGCTTCTTTAGTCGTTGTTTAAAATTAATTTTCATGTGGTAAAAAAATTTTTTTTTTTCATATTTGGGGGGCAGGAATGGATTTAATTTTTATTTCCCTTTTTTCTTATGGGGGAAAAAAATTTTGGGTAACAATAATTTCAGCTTACGATGAGCTCTCAGGAACAGATTAAATCGTAAGGGGGGTCCCCTGTATATCTTTAAATATGTTCTAAACTGTTGCATCTGGGCACCTCTGACAGCAGTGATTATTATAAGTGGGTGAAATGTTGAATATGATGAAAGTATTTCTTATGGGGATTTTTTTCTTTTTAGGTCACCCGCCTTGGTGGGAGACGGCCCCAAATTTTTTTTTTTTTTTTTCCCCAAGTCGGCCGTCTCCCCCCGAGGCAGGGTGACCCAAAAAAAGAAAGAAAAATCCCCAAAAAGAAATACTTTCACACATTAACACTTTCACCTCACCCCATAACTGTTTTTTTTTGAGGTGCTCAGAAAAAACAACAGTTCAGAAAATATACATTAAAATACACAACATTCCTCCAAACTGCTAATATCCCCAAACCCCTCCTTTTTGAGTGCAGGCCCCTTTTACTTCCTAATTCCCGGGGGCTAAATTGGCTATATAAAAAAAAAGGTTTCCCTGAATCCTTCAGGGAACCGTTTCCCGAATCCTTTGGGGAAACCCCGCCTACACCCAACAGTCTAGGTCCCAAATATCATTCGTCCCATTTGCTCCTATCAAACACGCTCTGTACATGCTGGAAGTCCAAGCCCTCGCCACAAAACCTCCAACGGCCAACTGGTTAAAAAAAAAAAAAGTTTAACTTTGGATATCGAACGTGTTATATAAAATATAATAAACCATATAACACAGCATTCCAATAAACTTACACAATAAAAAAATGTCTTGTAGTTCTAAGCTCATTTTAAAGTTGCCCAAAATGTTCTACATAACCAGAGGCTTTCAATTAAATCTGCATAACTTGCTACCTATTTCTATAACAACTGCATACTGTATTTACTGGAAATAAATCTTATCATTTTAACTAAGACTTCAAAGGAAAACAAAATGCCCAAAGAGCTGCCAACACACAAGACCAGATTTAATACTTATAAAGTTACTAACACACATGACCAGACAGCAAAAAGTAACAATACCATAATACTGCACAAAGGGCACAGAAAATATTTCTAAATGAACATTTACTTACCTGTAATAAGAACATTTTTGTTCCACTGAATGCAAGAGACTGCATCACAATGAGCCTCCAGGAGCAGACACACTTCTCCATATTCCTGACTGTATGTGTATCTGCTCAGTGAAAATAAAATATTTACAATGTTATAAGTTATTCTCTAACAGGATAAATTTATTTGAATAGGTGTAATTTTCAATCTAGTAAATAAGATTTACACATGTTTGATATAAGCATATAAAAGCATACACTTCCCTGTGCTCAACCATTCTTTAATTTGAATACATATTAAGTTCTACAATCAGAAAAAATACATGACTGACTACTTAAATTAGATCTATAAGCAATTTTGTAATCAGCTGTATATGCAGTAGAATGTATATCATATAGGTGGCCCTCAATTTATGTGGTAGATACACTCATGAAACTCAGCAAAATCTCATGGAGAATCCACTTACCAATAAAATACAGGAATGAGCATACAACACATGCACCGATCATTATACAGAAAACATAAATGCACTCTGAAAGGGGGCATAGATGTTGCAGTTAGGAGGGTTATTTAAATTGCTATATCTATGCACTTCTATAAAGACTGCTACAGAATTAGTAATGGAGAAAGTTTCTTTTGATCACCCTACTTTAATGGGAAATAGCCCAAGTGATAAAAATATTTTATCAATTATGAAGACTCAAAGTAGTCAACATCCATACACACTGATTAGAACTGTTATAATTGTGTAATAAATTGTCATCCTACAAAGCAAATGACCAAGAATCCACATAACTCAAGGAGCACCAGTACCTGCTTTGTAGGCAAAAGCCAAGGAAAGTCAATTGCTCTAAGCTAATGATTTGCCAATTGTCAATATGCAAAATAATACAACATTTATAAGTAAAACCAGTGACAGTAATAATGCTCCAAGCAGCTACTGTTATACACAGAATAAACAACTAACTATTTTTCAAGTTCCACACTAATGCATAGCATTCACTACAGTATTGTATTTAAAAAATTAAAAAGTAAACTTAACTTTTAATACCTTTGTTGTTTTTTTCCCAAAACCCCAAAAAAAACAAAAACACCAAAAAAGGGTGAAAAAAAAAACGAAGGAAATTAAAAAATTTTTTAAAAAAAAAAAAAAAAAATTATTATAAAAAAAAAATAATTTGAGGGGTGGGGGAAAAGATTTGGGGTTATTAAAAATTTATTTTAAAAAAATTTTTTTGATATTTTAAAAAAAATTAAAAAATTAAAAATTTTTTTAAAAATAAAAAAAAATTTTAATTAAAATTTTAAAAAAAAATAAAATTAAAAATTTTAAAAAAAATTTTAAAATTTAATTTTTTTAATAAAAATTAAATTTGGGGTTTTTTTATTGGGATTAAAAATTAAAAATAAAGCCTAAAAGGGGAAAGAATTGCATTTCAAGGGGGGGAAATTTTTGACAGTTTGGAAGGTTTAAACTGTCATATCTGAGGCTTCTGCAAAGACAGTGATTTTGTGAGTGGGTGAAAGTGTTGAAGAGATAAAACTTTTTTTCTTTTTGCCTCCGGGGGGGAAATTGTATACAGGGGCTGCTGACTCAATGACATACTACTACACGCAGTAAAAGCCCCTTGTTATGTGATTATTTTTGGGGAAATTTAAATTAGTTTTGTCCTAGGGGGCGACCCCCACCCCCGTCGACTAGCAAACCTGGTACCCATTTTAAAAGATGGGTTTAAAAGGGACAGCAGGGTCTTATGGAAACCAAAACCCTAATGTTTCCAGCCTTATGGAGGGGATTTCGAACCCCAGACCTCGTGTGTGAGCTGAGTTGCTAGTGATGAGCCACGGCTCCATGCAAGAAGGTAAAAATAGCAAAAACCACGTAAGGCATGCACAGTCTAAAATTTTTTCAAAGAACCCGTACAAAAAAAAAAAAAAAACTTTCTAAAAATTTAGTAATTTATCAGGGGAAAAGGGGGTTTCTAACCCCTTGTTTCCCACTTTTTAGTCACCTCTTATGGCTGCATAGCTTACACAGGAAGAGTTTTCCCTTCCACTTTCCCAGAAGTTCTAACTTTTTTTTTTTTTTTTTTTTTTTTTTTTAAAAAGTCGGCCCTTTCCCCCCACCGAGGCAGGGTGATTAAATATTTAACACAGACTTTCCCTATTTAGTGGGAACAATTTTGGAACTTATGAGCTGTTGGAGTGTGAGCAGGGTAATATTTTGTAAAGGGATTCAAGGAAATCAATAGCCAGACTCGAGTCCTGGAGGTGGGAAGTACAATGCCCACACCTTAAAAGAGGGGTTTGGGATATTTCCTGTTTGGAGTGGCATCTGAACTGTCATATCTACGTGCCTTTGCAAAGACAGTGATTATGTGTGAATGATGATGAAAGTTTCTCTCTCTTTTTTTGGGTCACCCTGCCTCAGTGGGAGACAGCCAGCACGTTGAAAAAAATAAAATATTTACCAACATCAATTATCAATCATATTCACTATTAAGTCTCACAATCATATCTCCCAGTCAATATTACACTAAATAAATAAGTTGTTTCAAATTTAAACTGAACGTAATTTAAAATTACAGTATAAAAGCACTACACAAATTGAATTCAGTCTATTTTATCATCCTTCTAAAAAATAAAGCAAATCAAACTGGTATCATCTAACCTGCTCCAACTTTGGCACAGTGAACACTTTTATTAAGGAATCCTGAGCAACAGACATAACTTGCTTTGCATCAGTTGTAAAAGCCACTCCCAGGATGACATCACGGTGAACTTTACATTCATGCAGTTGCTGAAGATCAGTTAACCTCTGCCAGAGATTCTGTACCTCTAAACTGGCTCCTCTTTCACAATTTTCTGGGAAAAATAAAGTAGTTTAAATATCCCTGTAGATAACTATGATTAATACTGGTCATTCATAATGGATTGTGTATCACAAATAGTAAACAAATTAATTGTCTGTACTGTACTTACTGCTTACAGAATGCAGGTTACAAATAATAATGCCTGGAATGTAGGACTTCAGACAAATGATAAAATATTGTCACCCAAAAAGCATATCTAAGAATTTAAGAGTATGGGGTGATTCAAGACTATAATTTAAAACTGAACACCAGACCAATTGGTTCATGTTAAGCTTAACTATATGTAGTAAAATAGAGAATTATAAGTACAGCATTATATTCATAGGAAGCATTTAACCCATAAGGTTCATACAGATCCTGGTAAATGAGAGGTAATCAGATTTGGTTTAATGGGGAGTACCTCCAAATCCTTGGATCAAAAGCCCTTCACTCGGAACATGGCACCTCACCTTGAAAGGTTTAATAGGTACTTTTGAGATTTGAAGAGTTCCTTGACCTTGTAAACCATTCAGTCCTCTTGGGAATAAAAATTTTAATTTCTCCATGCACAAGAACATTCAAGGTAAAATTAAACAGTAAAAAGCTACTAGCATAAATAAAACACTTCACAGAAATAAATGCTATCACACAAAGTTAAAATAAACAGAATTAGTTAAAACCCTTTGAATTGGTACTGTCAAAAACCTCTCCCAAAAGTTATACAAAAACCTTGATAAAAGCAAAAATTATGTCATGAATTGACAGTTAAAATGTGTTCCAGTCAGTTGCATGCCACTAGATACAAAGGAAGGAAGAAGGGAAAGGCAGGAACATCTACAAATAACTGGTTAAGGGTGAAGTGTGTGCACATGATCCTTAATTGAGTTGCATCAGTGATGATTCCTGTTGCAGGAAACAAGGCCAAACACCCACATCCTGCAGAACCCTACATAACTTGGTTCTTGCCTGTAGGACCCACCCTGTCTAAAACTACCCAAGAATATAGCTGTGTATGTGACCCAAAGTCACTGAGGCAGAAATCTGTTACAAAGACTCTCCTAAAGGGATCCAAATAGAGAATCTCTTCACTTGTTCCAAATGTGTTGTATGCATGCATAAGAAGACTTTGAGCCATTGGCAGCACTACAGTTATTAACCCTTTCAGGGTCCATCCCGTAGATCTACAGCTTCACGTTGAGTGTCCAAACTGTAGATCTACGCCAAAATTTTAGCGCCATCAAATTTAGCACGAAAACGCTCATAGGCCTACATGTGAGAGAACGGGTCTGCGTGGTGGGTGTGTGCCATAAACAAAAAATCTAGGCGCCCGCATACCACTGTGGGAACGCCGGCTCAGTTACTCTTGTTCACCATGCCTCGTTTGCAAGCAGCTCTCACTCCAAGGAAAATTGGGACTCTCCTATTCCTATCTGATAGTTCTGACAATGATGGAAGTGGAAATGAAGATGAATTCTTTGGCTTTGATCAGTTAGTGACTGAAAGGAATGACCAGGATATCGATAATAGTGCAGAAAACCCTGACGATCCTCAACCTTCTACCTCTGGTGTGGGCACTCGTCAGTCACGGTCAGTTGTACCTCAACGCAAGAGAAAACTATTATTTTCGTGTGGCCAGGCCAATGACTTCAGTAATGATGATGATAGTGACGTGGATTGTGATTTTATTGCTCTTGACGATCATTCGAGTAGTGATAGTGAGGAAACACATTCACCAGTGAAGTGTCGGTATGTACGCCGCCGCATGTGCTCGGGTAGTGTACCCTATGCCGTGCCCAGGGGACGGAGTACATCCTGGAGTACATCCCGTGGCCCTACACCAGGTACAGACAGTGATAGTGAGGATGATGTGGCTACACTTGGCATGGATAGGCCACAGGCATCAGTAGATGGTGGTAGTGGTGATGGTAGTGCCACGGCCATGCGTGACTCACCAGCCCAGGCTGGGACCCACACTGCTGACTCCGCAGTTCAAGGACAAAGCGGAGCGTCAGCCACCACAACCACAACTACCCGCACAACCAGCCTAAGATGTCCAGTATCCACCAGCAAACCATATCTGGGATTGGCAGCAAAATCCCAATTTTGTTCCCAAGCCCCACCACTTTGATGACTCTGAAAGTGGAATTCTACCAACTTGTCCCCTTGGAAACACTGCAAATGAACTGAAATTCTTTGAACTATTCTTTGACCAGCCATTGATGGAAACTATTGTCAGGGAAAGTAACAAGTATTTTGAGTACACCATGGCAAATACGATCATATCACCACAGTCAAGACTACACCGGTGGAAAGAGACGACTGTTGCAGAAATGTATTTGCTTTTTGCAACAATAATGCTTATGCCTCATGTCTATAAGCATAATATAAAAGCATACTGGTCCACAGATCGGCTAATTTCTACCCCGGTCTTCAGTGAAATCATGCCAGTGAACAGGTTTATCTTACTGTTACGTATGTTGCACTTCTCTGACAAAACCAGGCCTGACAGAAGTGACAGGTTATACAAGATTAGAAATGTTTTTATGTATCTCAAACAAAAGTTCAGCATGTACTTTTATCCATTCAAGAATCTTGTAATTAACGAGTCTTTGATTTTGTTCAAAGGTAGGCTGTCATTCAAGCAGTATATACCAAGCAAGAGGAAACGCTTTGGTATAAAACTGTTTGTACTCTGTGACTGTGACAGTGGCCTGGTATTGGATATTGTTGTATACACGGGAAGTAAAACATTGAAAGATACCAAGATGTTATTGGGTATCTCAGGTGACGTAGTGAGAAGCATGATGGCACCTTATCTTGGTAAGGGGCATACATTATATACCGATAACTGGTACACAAGCCCATTACTCAGTCATTTCTTGCGAGTGAACAAGACAGATGTGTGTGGCACAGTGCGTTCTAATCGTAAACATGTGCCCAGGCTCAACGCAGGTGCTCGTGCAGGTGTTTACTGCCAATGACATCATGGCATTACGGTGGCATGACAAACGAGATGTCACATTGTTGACAACCATCTAACGTAATGAAATACAAGACAGTGGCAAAGTTGATCGAGTGACTAATGAACGTATTTGAAAATCCAGTGACAGTGATTGATTATACACAAAACATGCGCTTGGTTGACAAATATGACATGCAGATTGGCTTTCTTGATTGTGTTCGTAAAAGTTACAAGTGGTACATGAAACTTTTCTTCCATCTCATGGACATTTCATTGCTCAATGCATATAATATGTACCAAATGAAGACTGGCAACAGACTACCGTGTGGTGAATTTTGTTTGTCTGTTGTCAGACAACTCATAATGAAGTACCAGGTAACAACACCTGCTATACAACAAGGTCCTCGAACTCCTCAGGATATACCCAAGCGTTTGAGGAGGGAAGGTGATCATTTCATAATACAGCTTCCTTCAACTCAGAAGAAATTTGCTCAGAAGAGATGCATCGTCTGTGCACAAACAAAACGACGGCAACAAAGACGCAAAGACACTCGGTTTATGTGTGAGGAATGTAAGGTACCTCTGTGCATGGTGCCTTGTTTCAAGGAGTCCCACAAGCTCCAGCAGTTCTAAAACCATGTCCAGTGATTGTAAATATGTAAATGTATGATAGAACATTAGTATTATAGTACAATATTTGTGCATGTTTATTGTAATAAACAACAGTGGTAAACAATAATATGATAATAACTTTAGTGCGGTTATTGTGTTCAATACAGTGAGTTTATATATATACATTATATACAGTATTGGTCTCTCAGGCCCCAAATGTTAGTAGGAAAAGAAAAAAATTAGAAAAGAAAAAACTACAAAAAAACGTTAAATAAAGTAATGCGCGTATGTGGAAATCGTCGATGTTGCCGCCACCACGTCATTTGGGGTCAACTTCTCGGCACTGTATCTCGGTAAGTACTGATCAGAATTTTTTTTTTTTGTCTTATTACCTTCACAAAAATATACTCTAATTCTGTAAGAAAAAAAGATTTTTTTTTTTTTTTTTCAAAATTTCTTGGAAACTGGAGCACCACTTCAGATTTTGACCTTAGACCCTGAAGGGATTAAACAGTTTCTATATCCTTTTTGGTAATGATATTCTTAACATACGAGGCCCATCAATCTACTCTTCAGCACTTACCCTCACACTCAGCAGAATCCTCTACAGAATCTAATTCACCTTCAAGTACATCACTTAGATGAAGAGAATCGTAAAGGCCATATGATCTTGATCTTCGAGGATGTGGTTTTGTAAACAGCTGTTTAGGAACTTGCCCAAATTCAGTGATTTGAACTTCTAATGCTAGCCTGTCATTGAGGTCTGTAATTGCAGTCAGGTCCACAGATCCCTCATAGCAAAGGTGGTAAAATACTGCAGAGAAAAAAATTAAAGTTGAAAATTTTTGTTAATTTGAATTTTATATACAACATGACATTTTATCAAAGATCTGATATTTTATACATGGCACAGTGCAATGAATATGCTTTTTGAATGGTTTTAGTTTCTTACTGACTTTAATAATAAGACATTTTATAAAATGAAAAATATTTATCAATTTTTACAGCTCCACCCCCTTTTCCTCATCCTCCAAGATGCAGCCCACAACAGTTACTTAACACCTAGGTATTAATTTACTGCTAGGCAAAAGAGAGAACAGCAAGTGTTAGGAGACTTACTTATCCATCTTGTCCCACCCTGAAAGTGGTTATATTCCAAGCATTTCAACTTTGAACTAAGACCTTTTATTTGACTATAATTTCATAAATTGTTAGCCAGTTATTATTTTGGCATCAAAAGCAGCAGTCATATCCAATGTGTCTGCTTTAGGTTAATAATCAAGCCTGTAATCCCTTTCTATTAAACTTATTAAAGCCATATAGCATGAACTAATAGAATATTCAATTCTCTTGTATTCACTGTAAACTCCTAAATTTACAATTACACTCACCTAAGTGACCATATGTACAAAATTGCTCATTGTTATTGCCTTATTAATCTTTAGTTAGTTTTAAGTTTGCCCGAAATGCTCTGTATATAAAGGGGCTTTCAGCATATACACCCAAATGTCATTCTCCTTTGTACAAACATTGTAACACTCTGAAATAAATTTATCATTATCAACCCAGACCAGACAATATAACCTGTAAATTTGTCTACCCTTGCACTGCTGATAAGGAACTCAGATCAAAATTTACATGTCAACTTTTAATTTTGCATTGGCCTACATGTGGCTTGCCTCATTCCACTAATAAGCATTCATGGCACTAATGATTCTTCATTAAAATTAGAGTTCATAGTTATTGCGTATGTAACCAAACTATTTTAAAATTATTCACTACTGAACAAGTATCTTCATCAGGTGCCAGATCAACTGGGCTGTGGTGGATATGTGAGGCAGCAGGCCTCCAGCAGCAACAACCTGATTGACCAGGCTAGCACCAGACCAGCCTGACTCATGGCTAGGCTCCGGGAGTAGAAACACTTGAAACTCGTCAAAGGTATGTATATCAAAGGTATTACAGTATATCCATAACAAGGAAAATACAGGAAATTATATACGTATATTGCATTTCAGTCTCCTTATGCTGGCCATAATGATATGTGGGATTTTTTTTTTTTTAACATGTCAGCCGTCTCCCACCAAGGTAGGGTGAACCAAAAAAATAAAAACACTTTCACCATCATTCAACACTTTCACCATGAAACTATCCTAATTACATATTTTCTGCAAGTAAACTTTTATGATGAAAAACAAATAATTTGATAAGGACAAAAACAAAAATTATTCCATTTGCCTCCATTATCAGTGAGAATCATTCAAAACAAAAGGAGAAAAATAGCTATTCATATATTTATCTTACAATTATCAGCTTTCTCTGCCTCTTCCCCATTCTGCTTGTAGCCAAACAGAAGATCAATCCATTGATGCAAATTATTTGAGACATATTCCGATTCAAGAGCTTCTCGCATAATTTTTATCACACTGCGAGGATCTGAAAGAATAATTTATTTTTGCCTGTAGTAGGGTCATATAAAATAAAATAGTAATATATAGTACATATATAAAGATCAATAACATTCAATGGATCCTCATAAATATTTAAGTTTCAATTTATTTCAAGAACTGCTAAAAAAAATATCTCTAAACTATCAAACTTTTATCTGTTTTACTGTTTCCTATATTAAAAAAAGTCGATTCAACAGAAATGACAACCTACGCAATTTTCACTAGCATTACTAGTCTACCATGCTCAAAATTCATTAACCCTTTGACTGTTTCAGGCCCCTTTCTGAACTGTCATTCTATGTTGCTAAATTTTTGAAAAAAAAAAAAAAAAAAAAAAATTATTTTTCTTATGAAATGATAATCTTTTCCCGATGGTAATGACACCAAAAGTTCGAAATTTGGTCGAAAACTCATGGAATTACGCTCCTGTGAAGTTAGCGGTCTCGGCGACATATGTGTATCGGCGATTTCGCCGACTTTGAGCCCTATTTTCAGCCAATTTGTTGTTCCAGTTGACCAAACTCATAGCTATTTCTTTAGAACTCCATTTTATCTATCAGCTGAGTACAAGAAACCTCCATTTACTAGTTTGGACTACCCAATATGGTGGTCAGAAATTGGCAAATTGGCCAATTTCACGCAAACTAAAAAAGATGCCAATTTCAAAATAGGGTCCAGAATAAACAAGGTAGACATTCTTGGCACTAAAATAACATATCCTCTGTTCATTAGTCACATCTCTAGGCCCCTCTTATATTATTATTGCTTTCTATTTTGATTTTTTATTCATACAAAAAAATACAAAATTTACTGTTATGCAAACTACTGCATTATTGTAAAAATGGTATAAATAATATCAGTGCACTAGTGAAAGAATATTAGACTCTCCAGTTGACGTGTATTGGACGTGTGGTGTGATTTGTTTACTCCTGAACATTGGTAAAAATCGAACATTTCCGCTACTTTGAGCTCAGTTTCAAGGTCGTTTTCATCGTCAAAGTAATGAAAATCATCTCTATTTCTGTAATATGCTTTCCATTTTATCACCTAAGACCATGAAAACGCAAATACATCGATAAATACTATACGAAAATACACATCAAAGTCGGCGTTTTAATCCAAAAAAACGATCAGTTTTTTTTTTTCTCATTACGCACTGTGTGCTGCAGGATTTTTTTATGTGGTGCACACTGACCACACAGACCCATTCTCTCACGTGAGCCTACCAGCTTTCTTCCACTTGATTTGAAGCCGCTAGAATTTTTTTTTTTTTTTTTTTTTTTTTTTTTTTTCTTCAACAAGTCGGCCGTCTCCCACCGAGGCAGGGTGACCCAAAAAAGAAAGAAAATCCCCAAAAAGAAAATACTTTCATCATCATTCAACACTTTCACCACACTCACACATTACGTCAGAAACAGTGGCGCGTAAGACGTATTTTTACGGCGTAAACAGTCAAAGGGTTAAGACATATTCAATTCGCAGACCGAGTGGGCTTTCACATGTGTTAACTACTGGACCAGCTGGCTCTAACAGAATTCATCCAACTAGGTATATTTTTATACACCATAGGGAGCTTAGTATGGGCCACCACTGTGACCACAAATGCATTTGTGGACACATTGGCCTGAGAGTCTTACCACTCGCCTGCTGTCAGTTCAGTCCCCACCCATTCAGTGGTTTGTTTGCAATCATGTTATTATAATTTCGTGAGTAGAGACATTCAAAATGTGCACACACAAAAATAATTTGAAGATTTTATTTTTTTCAACAAACCGGCCATATCCCACCGAGGCAGGGTGGTCCAAAAAAAAAAAGTCTCTCTTTTTAAATTTAGTAATTTATACAGGAGAAGGGGTTACTAGCCCCTTGCTCCCGGCATTTTAGTCACCTCTTACAACATGCATGGCTTACGGAGGAAGAATTCTGCTCCACTTCCCCATGGAGATAATTTGTAGATTTTTTTTTTTTTTTCAACAAATCGGCCGTCTCCCACCGAGGCAGGGTGACCCAAAAAAGAAAGAAAATCCCCAAAAAGAAAATACTTTCATCATCATTCAACACTTTCACCACACTCGCACATTATCACTGTTTTTGCAGATGTGCTCAGGATACAACAGTTTAGAAGCATATACATAAAAAGATACACAACATATCCCTCCAAACTGCCAATATCCCAAACCCCTCCTTTAAAGTGCAGGCATTGTACTTCCCATTTCCAGGACTCAAGTCCAACTATATGAAAATAACCGGTTTCCTTGAATCCCTTCACTAAATATTACCCTGCTCACACTCCAACAGATCGTCAGGTCCCAAGTACCATTCGTCTCCATTCACTCCTATCTAACACGCTCATGCACACTTGCTTGAAGTCCAAGCCCCTCGCCCACAAAACCTCCTTTACCCCCTCTCTCCAACCCTTTCGAGGACGATCCCTACCCCGCCTTCCTTTCCCTATAGATTTAAATGCTTTCCATGTCATTCTACTTTGATCCATTCTCTCTAAATGACCAAACCACCTCAACAACTCCTCTTCTGCCCTCTGACTAATACTTTTATTAACTCCACACCTTTTCCTAATTTCCACACTCCGAATTTTCTGCATAATATTTACACCATACATTGCCCTTAACCCTTTGAGGGTTTCGGCTGTACTAGTACGGCTTACGACCCAAAGTTTTTGACGTAGTAGTACGCCTAAATTCTAGCACCCTCAAATCTAGTGGGAGAAAGCTGGTAGGCCTACATATGAAAGAATGGGTCTATGTGGTCAGTGTGCACAGTATAAAAAAAATCCTGCAGCACACAGTGCATAATGATAAAAAAAAACTTTGACCGTTTTTTTGGAATAAAACAGCGACTTTGCACTGTATTTTCATATGGTATTTATTGTTGTATTCTAGTTTTCTTGGTCTCATTTTATAGAATGGAAGACATATTACAGAAATTGTGATGATTTTGACTGGTTTTACAATGAAAAGTACCTTGACATTGAGCTCAAAGTAGCAGAAATGTTCGATTTTTTCCAAAGTTCAAAAGTAAACAAATCATGCCAAGCGTCCAATACACGTCAACTGGTGAGTCTAATATTCTTTTACAAGTGCGCCAATATTATTTATACCATTTTTTACACTAATGCAGTAGTCTGCATAACAGTAAATCTTCTATTTTTTGAGAATAAAAATTCAAAGTGGAAAGCAAGAGAATGTAAGAAGGGCCTTGAGACGTGACTAATGAACAAACGAAATGTCATTTTAGTGCCAGGAATGTCTTTCTTGTTTATTCTGGACCCTATTCGGAAATTGGCATCTTTTGAAATTTGTGTGAAATTGGCAAAATTGCTAAATTCTGACCACTGTACTGGATAGTCGAAATTGGTAAATGGGTGGTTTCTTGCATTCATTCGATAGAAAAAATGGAGTTCTAGCGAAATATTCATGTTTTTTGTCAACTAGTGCAGTGCAATTGGCCGAAAATGGGGCTCAAAGTGGGCAAAATTGCCGATGCGTAAACATCGCCGAGACCGCTAACTTCGCGAGAGCATAATTCCCTACGTTTTCCATCAAATTTCATAATTTTGGTGTCATTATGATCGGGGAAAGATTCTCTATCTTTTCATAAGATTTTTTTTTTTTTTTTTTTAAATTTGGCCGACCCTGAGAACGAGTCTCGGAGACGGCCTGTCGACCCTCAAAGGGTTAAACAAGACATCTCCACTGCCTCCAACCATCTCCTCGCTGCTGCATTTACCACCCAAGCTTCACACCCATATAAGAGTGTTGGTACTATTATACTTTCATACATTCCCTTTTTTGCCTCCACAGATAACGTTTTTTGACTCCATATATACCTCAATGCACCACTCACCTTTTTTCCCTCATCAATTCTATGATTAACCTCATCCTTCATATATCCATCCGCCGACACGTCAACTCCCAAGTATCTGAAAACATTCACTTCTTCCATACTCCTCCCCAATTTGATATCCAATTTTTCTTTATCTAAATCATTTGATACCCTCATCACCTTACTCTTTTCTATGTTCACTTTCAACTTTCTACCTTTACACACACTCCCAAACTCGTCCACTAACCTTTGCAATTTTTCTTTAGAATCTCCCATAAGCACAGTATCATCAGCAAAAAGTAACTCTCAGTTCCCATTTTGAATTTGATTCCCCAAAATTTAATCCCACCCCTCTCCTGAACACCCTAGCATTTACTTCCTTTACAACCCCATCTATAAATATATTAAACAATCATGGTGACATTACACATCCCTGTCTAAGACCTACTTTTACCAGGAAGTATTCTCCCTTTCTTCTACACACCCTAACCTGAGCCTCACTATCCTCATAAAAACTGTTTACAGCATTTAATAACTTACCACCTATTCCATATACTTGCAACATCTGCCACATTGCTCCTCTATCCACTCTATCATATCCCTTTTCTAAATCTATAAATGCAATAAAAACTTCCCTACCTTTATCTAAATACTGTTCACATATATGCTTCAATGTAAACACTTGATCTACACATCCCCTACCCACTCTCAAACCTCCTTGCTCATCCGCAATCCTACATTCTGTCTTACCTCTAATTCTTTCAATTATTACCCTACCGTACACTTTTCCTGGTATGCTCAGTAAACTTATTCCTCTATAATTTTTACAATCTCTTTTGTCCCCTTTCCCTTTATATAAAGGGACTATACATGCTCTCTGCCAATCCCTAGGTACCTTCCCCTCTTTCCTACATTTATTAAACAAAAGTACCAACCACTCCAACACTATATCCCCCCCTGCTTTTAACATTTCTGTCATGATCCATCAGTTCCAGCTGCTTTATACCCCCTTTCATTCTACGTAATGCCTCACGTACCTCCCCCACACTTACATTCTGCTCTTCTTCACTCCTAAAAGATGGTATACCTCCCTGACCAGTGCATGAAATTACCGACTCTCTTTCTTCCTTAACATTTAAAAGT